ATGTTAAAAATTAAGTCAATCAAATATATTTAATTGACAATTTCAATGAAAATACGTTCTAGACAATTATCTTTCCATACTTGTAATCAAAAATTCGGTAAAAGGTAATTATATAAATACAACATTTTTATTTCTTAGCACTACATCTTAATTGCATTTAAGATCCTCAACTTTTGCTTATTCTCGCATTTATGTTCCTTTCTTTTTATTACATTTTTTATTCTCATCTTTCATTAATTAACATATTTATTCTCTGATTGTGATTTATATCCATATATTATTTAACTTTCTTTGAAATGAAGGGTGTTGTTGATTTATATCATGCAACTGATGTTTAGTACCGTTCATTATTTTAGGATCTAAAAGTTTGAATTATCGTTCTTACGAGGAATATTATTTGATTGTTGATTTCATTATGATTAATTTCAATTTGATTGAAAATAAATAAAAATTGTTTTAGTTTTTATAATAAATCTACAAAAACAATTAAAAAAAATGCACAAGTAGATAATTTGGGATTTTAATATGATAGTTAAAGTGTTAGGATTTACAAATTACCAATTTTGATAACAATTAACTACGTGTACCTCATTGAATTCTTATAAATTAATTGATTTACCTCCTTGGAGTTCAAACCAACCATATTCAATGAAGTCAACACACTATATATCTACGCGAATCAACCTTAATCAAGAATGTTCAATCATCAAAGAATTCAATTACGACAATCACAAAATCGTATATCTATCATTTTATCCAATTTTCTGGTTTTTACTATGTGGTCTAAGCAAATAACTCTATTTCGGTATAATTATTGCTCACAATCAATGAATTGGTGATCAAATAATTCAAAGTATTAAAAATGGAAGTAAAAATAATTCACAAGCATCAATTGAAAATCAGAATTTTAAATTAAAATTTAATGTTGAAAAACCATGTTATATTCATTCAACCCAACTAATCCTTTAGTTACACATCATGGAAAAAGAAAATAGATTGAAGTACATCATCGAGTTTGAAGGAAAAAAGATGACGATTTTGCGCAAAAAAAAAAAAAAAAAGTCTTCTTCACCAAGTCAAGAACTTCAAAACCCAGTTTCTTGATTTTAACCTTACTTTTTTCTCCCTTCTCTCTCTAAATTTCTATGGTGTAACCCCATTTTTGTGACCTAAACAATGTATATTTATAGAAGAGGAAAATTTTCCTGAGTTGTGCTTCTAAGAATGAGTCAAAATGAATAAAGAAAACTTAAAAAATCATATAAACAACATTGTCGACCGAATGGGTCCGACCTTGTCCTGTTCCCGAGTTTGCAAACCTTGATCTAATCGAGGAAAGCACGCCAAGACCATGGTTAAGGGTGTCAATTTGAATCGTCGGCTTGGGCGGTAAATGGCTCGGTTCGGGAAGGGAAAAGCTTGAGCTAGCTTGGCTCAGGCTGAGCTAGCCCTTGCGGCTCAATGCCGACCCGTGTCAGGGCCATTTTTGACCCATGAGAAAAAATAAAAAAATGTGTAGCTGCATGCAATAGAAGGCAGCGGCAATGCTGGCTTTTTAAAAAATAAAATAAAATAAAATAAAAAATCACGAGCGGCTTGACTCAGCTTGGGTCGGCTTGATAAGGTCTGAGTCAAAAGTTTGGGTCGAGTCTAGATTTTTTGACCTAACAAAAGCTCAGTTCAAACAAAAAAAAGTCCGAACCATTTTTACTTGAACCGAGCCCGAGTTTCGAGTTTCGGCTTGACTCATTGACATTTCTAACCACGATTGACCCTCAACTTCTAAAATTGTTGCAATTTGGTCTCCAAATCTAGTTTCTATCCAATTTTGATAATTTTTCATCATAAACTTCAATTTTAATGTCGAAACTTCAAAATTTTCCAAATCAATACTTTTCAAAATTGGTTCGTCCCAAGTTCTAAAATTGTGTAATTTAGTCCTCAAACTTTTCAAAAGTTGAATTTCACCCCGAAACTTTTGATTTTCTTTCCATTGCTCTCTTAATACTTCTTGTTACTCTCGTGCAATCCATTTAATCTTTAATTGCTCCAAACTAACTCCAAAATAGCTCAAAATGGTCTATTTCACTCCAATTTCATCTAAGTGCATCCAAATTGAGATTTTACCAACAATTAACATAATTTAACCTAAAATTAAGTCAATATTCTCTCAATTTAACAATAAATAAAATGCACTTATCAAAGGCCAACCATTCCGCCGTACTTGTATTTAGTTTTTTTCCTTATTTAAAAATATAAATAAATCCTTTTACACACTCATTACAAACTTTTTGGACGAAAATGTCATCAGGAACAAAACGTGTTAATAAATATAAGATTAATAATAAGATTGTGACTATAAAAAATTTGAAACATAAGTATGATAATGAGAAAAAACTGAATACCTTTAATGCTAGTAAAAGTGGTGTAATAGTCCAAAATAACTGTTCTTCGGTCAATTTATTGACAACAATTTGTAAGAAAAGATATATGCCCTTATCCTCAATTTAGTTAAAATGAAAAAGGAGTGTAAAACCCCCAACCCCAGTTCCATTACAAATTCCCTCACCTAACGTACTTTAACTCGATAGTTTCCACTGCATATCCGAGGTTGTGTTTAAGCCACATTAATTTAGAAAAATGTATTTTGGAATTGTAGATTGATAGAGAATGTGTGGTTGAAAAAGAAGGAAAAGTTATTGATATAATGTAAAATATTATGTTATTGAAAAACGTATGGTTGAAAATGAATAGAAAAATGAGAATGAAAATTTTAATGTGGCTCAAACGGGGGGTAACGACTTCTATAAGCATTTTACGTCCAATCATTTCAGATATAATAATGCCATTAAACACAAGTTTAGGGGACGATATTTAATAAACTCAATTAAATGAATCATGTGATGTTGTATTTAATATCACGTAATTACCACTTAACGCTCCACACCAAAAAGTGAAAAACCTTGTGCTATGACTTATGAGGGTAGAAATTTTTATTTAAGAGAATCGTTGTCATGAAGATCCGGCCGGATAAGACCCCACAATGACATGCTAACGAGTGTGACTAAGAAAAGGATGAGCGTTACGAGTATGAACAAAAGAAGACGATAGTGAATTGAGGAAGCCTCCTTATTACCTTAGCTGTCACCTCATTCTCTCTCTCTCTAACTCACGCCTTCAACACCACCCTTCTTCTGCCCATATAACGACACCGCACCATATATCACTGTGTGTACTTTCACCATATATCATCAGTTACAGAAGAATCAAACCTTTTATGAGATGCTGTTTTCAGAAAATGATTTGATATTTGATTGTGATATATAAGTGTATATTCCCATCTGTATACAGTTCAAAACTCATACAAACTCAGTGTTTCTGGGACTTTTTCTGTGTTCATCAGAGCAAGAAAACTTCATAAGGTAACTCTTCAAGTCTTTAACTTCAAACCCATTATTAAAGTTCTCGTTTCTTTGATTTTCTGCGTATTTTTAGCGGATTACTGGATTCAGAAAAAAATAAAGATGGTGTGCTTCTAGCCTTATAGGAGATGAATGTTGTATGAATTTTGTGGATATAAGATTAATTTTTGTATGAATCTTTCTCGAGCCAAATGCCTTTTTTAAATGCCTCTATGAGAAAGTTGGCAGCATTTTCTGATTTTTTACTTCTTCTCCACCATTCCCAACAAGCTATACAAACGAACAAAAACATTCTCTTTTTGGGATTTCCAAGGCACCCTTTAAATTTTGGTTTTTTTTTTTGATAAATTTTCAATATTTACTATTTTTTATAATTTAATTACTTTCCTCTCTACTACTGATTTAAATATATTATTTTCCAGGTATTTTTGATAGAGGATTTTTTATTATTTAAAGATGGTACTTATATAACACTTCTTGGAAAAAAGGATTGTTTACTTATGCACATTTTGAGGTGGCCCCTATAAAAATTGGTCTTTGGAATTTGTAGTTTTACGATAATTTTATAATCAATTTGTAGGAAACTTGACCATGTTCTCTATTTTGCACAATTAATTTAAGGATTGCCATTGTAGATGTGCTTTTATTTACTGTATAAAAATGTTACTTTCATATGAATAACTCTATTGATAAAATATTTTTCAGAGTTTCCCTAGCAGTATCTCTGAAATTATTGTCTATGAGCTGACATAATAGCATCATGCCTCGATTATTTTACATAGATTATTCATAGTATTGTGTGAAAAATGAATGTTATGTTACAAAAAAAGATCTCATTGTTCAATACAAAAGAGATTTCTGTGTCGAGATTGTTATGTTCATGGCTTTGTCATCAATTTCAAATGTACAAATGTGGTTTACATAGAGGTTTAACTTGTTACCGTTGAATCGTAGAAGTAAAATTAGACATTCATAATTCTTGTAATTCTATCTTTTTGAAACAATTTATGCCAATCAAGATTGATTTTTGTTAGTAAGATTGCAAACCCATTCCACTGATGGCTATTATTGATGTTTCATATGCTGATGCTATTCTTGGAGACGTTAATTGATCTTAGTTTTTCTTGAATTACGAGGATCATTAGTTCTTGACTTAGTAGCCAAAGCAAATGTACTGTTGCTAAAAGTTTTTGCCCAAGCAGTTCATTGGTGGACTCCCTAGTATTAAGAATGGGTTCAGGATTTGAGCTTGCACGATTTTGCTGAGATGTCTCCTACTTGCAACTAGCTTGTGTCTTCTTCAATTACCGTGAATTGTTTATTAGGTTTCTAGTTTTTATTTCAATAAATGACCATCAGAAACTTTTGTTATCTGATATAGTTTCTGTTACCTTGGTACAGTATCGAGATAATTACATTGATGTTGTGTACCATAGAATTCTGTTTATTACCATCCTCGATAGCTTTGTATCCATTTCTAAGTCAGTTACTTTCCCTTGCAGAGCATCTTTGTCAATAGAAGAGTATTTATATAAAGAATAAAGCCTGTGGCAGTTGTTGTCCTAAACTATGTGTAAAATGACATTTTCTCATTTTCTCACCATCACTGTCCTTGTCTGTTTGGTGTATCCACTGTCTGCAAGTGACATTTCCCTTGGTGAGATGGAATCATTAAAAGCTTTGAGGGAGTCACTTTCCCAGAGAAGAGATATCATTCCGAGTTGGTTTGTTTTAGGGATTTCACCGTGCAATTGGACTGGTGTAAAATGTGATGGTCTACTAATTACCGAGTTGGATCTATCATGGACCGTGTCACCTCTAAACCTTCCGTTCCCCAGGCATATTGGTGAACTTAGATCTCTCAAGAACCTTAATCTCAGCCACTGTGCCCTTACTGGGGAGATTTATCCAGACTTTTGGGATTTGGAAAACTTGGAGATCCTCGATTTGAGTTTCAACCAATTAACTGGGATGCTACCTCCAAGCATAGCCAAACTGAAGTACTTGAGACAACTTGTGCTTGATGACAATAATTTTTCCGGCAGTTTACCGTCTACAATTGGTCAAGTCACACAGCTCAGAGAACTTTCTCTCCAATCAAATTCATTTTCTGGAAATCTACCATTAGAGCTTGGAAACCTACAGCAATTGCTGGCTCTTGACATCAGCAATAACAAGTTTTTCGGGAACCTGCCTTCGAGTTTAGGTAATCTTTCAAGGCTTTTGTACTTCAGCGCTCGCCAAAACAAATTCACAGGAATCTTATTTCCAGAAATTGGAAAATTAACAAAGCTTAGTATTCTTGATCTTGCATGGAATCCACTAACTGGACCTATACCATCTGCAATTGCTAATCTGAAAGGCCTCAGTAAACTTGATCTCCAGAATTGCAGGTTCACAGGAAATGTTCCAGAAGAGCTTTCATTGCTAAGTAACTTGACATACTTGAATTTAGCGCAGAATGATTTTGATGGAGAATTGCCTTCTAGTATTGGCAGGATGGTAAATCTGGTTTATCTTATTGCTCCGAGCTCTGGACTTAGTGGAACAATTCCTTCACAGCTGGGAAACTGCAAGAAGCTCAAGATTATAAATCTCTCCTTTAATTCTTTATCCGGTCACTTGCCTAATGGTCTTGCAGGCCTAGAGTCGATCAACTCAATTCTCCTCGATTCAAACCAGTTGTCGGGTCCCGTGCCTGAATGGATTTCCAACTGGAAACAAGTCGTTTCCATTGTGCTATCACAGAATCTTTTTACTGGCCCTTTACCACCACTTAATCTGCCTTTATTATCCCTTTTGGATGTCAGTGCTAATAAGCTTTCCGGTGAGTTGTCTGTGGAAATATGTAATGCTCAATCATTGACCACTCTGTTGCTATCTCATAACAACTTGTCTGGTAGCATAAATGGCATCTTCATGGATTGTCTGAACCTTGTAGATTTGGTATTGTCTGACAATAACATTTCTGGTGAAATGCCAGCCTATCTTGGGGATCTTCAGCTAATTACCTTGGAACTTTCTAAGAACAAATTTTCGGGTACAATTCCTGATCAACTGTGGGAGTCGGAAACACTTATGGAGATCTTGTTGAGTGATAATTTCTTCGAAGGCAGGATATCCAATGCAATTGCCAAGGTCTCGACTCTTCAGAGGTTGCAGTTGGATAATAATCTGTTTGAAGGAAACATCCCTTCTAGCATTGGCAAACTTAAAAATCTGACCAATCTATCTCTACATGGTAATAAGCTAACAGGAGAAATACCTTTGGAGCTTTTCGAGTGTACAAAGCTGATATCTTTAGACCTCGGTGCCAACAGATTGACAGGTCCAATTCCAAAATCAATATCCCAATTGAAATTGCTTGACAACTTGGTTCTTTCAGACAATCTATTTTCTGGTCCCATACCTCAGGAAATGTGCTCAGGTTTTCAAAAGGTGCCTTTACCAGACTCCGAGTACGTCCAGCACTACGGCAGGCTTGATCTTTCCCACAATGAACTAGAGGGGCCCATTCCTGCATCAATTAAGCAGTGCATTGTCGTGGCAGAACTATTGTTGCAGGGAAACAAGCTCAATGGGAGCATTCCAGAAGAGATTTCAGTTTTGATAAACTTGACATTACTTGATCTGTCATTCAATTCTTTGTCAGGTTCATTGGTTCCTCAGTTGTTCTCGATGAGACATCTTCAAGGTCTTGTACTTTCACATAACCAGATAAGTGGCTATATTCCTGATAATATTGGGCTGGAAATGCCGAGCTTAGCAAAGCTTGACCTTTCATATAACCGGTTAATCGGTCCATTGCCTCCTTCTGTGTTCAATTCTAGAAGTTTGACTTATTTGGATGTGAGCATGAATTCTTTATCGGGTTCTCTCTGTGTTGAGTATGCAAGCATTAGCGCTCTTTTGGTCTTGAATGCCAGCTACAATCAGTTCTCTGGCACCCTTGATGATTCTATCTCGCATCTAACATCTCTTTCCGTATTGGACCTCCATAAAAATAGATTTTCTGGAAGCTTGCCCATGTCACTTTCAACCCTTGATGCCTTGACATATCTTGATTTATCAGTAAATCATTTCCAAAATTCTCTTCCTTGTAATATCTGTAACATAGAAGGCCTCACCTTAGCCAATTTCACCAACAGTTTCTCCAGCCACATTCCAGAATCTTGCTCTATGGCAAAACCATGCCTTCTAGACCAACAGTTCCCTTCAAGGCATGAATACCCATCTAGTCCACTTGTCTCTCGTGCTTCAGTGTTTGGTGTGGCTGTTGGTGTTACATTTATATCCCTGGTATTACTTATTTGTCTACTTAGATGGAGAATGCTGAGGCGAGATGGGATAAATAATAACAGCGCCAATGATATGCTTGTGATGACACCAGAGTCGGGATCTAGTGATGGGCTTTTAGTAAAGAAGACAAGGGATCCGCTAAGCATTAACATTGCAACTTTTGAGCACCCTCTGTTAAGGATAAAAGCTGCAGATATTTTATCAGCAACTGAAAATTTCAGCAAGAGTTATATTATTGGTGATGGTGGATTTGGGACAGTATACAAAGCCTTCTTGCCAGAAGGAAGAATAATAGCTGTGAAAAGGCTTAATGGAGGTCACTTGCATGGAGAACGTGAATTCTTGGCTGAAATGGAAACAATTGGAAAGGTGAAGCATGAAAATTTGGTGTCGTTGCTTGGTTACTGTGTCTTTGGGGATGAGAGATTTTTAATTTATGAATACATGGAGAATGGGAGCCTCGACTTTTGGCTAAGGAACGAGGCAGATGCAGTTGAGGCACTTGACTGGCATACCCGGTTCAAGATTTGCCTGGGCTCAGCTCGTGGACTTGCTTTTCTGCATCATGGATTTGTTCCCCATATTATTCACCGGGACATTAAGTCAAGTAACATACTATTGGATGTGAACTTTGAACCAAGGGTATCGGATTTTGGCCTAGCTCGAATAATTAGTGCTTGTGAGAGCCATGTCTCAACTATCCTTGCTGGGACATTTGGTTACATACCACCCGAGTATGGCCAGACTATGGTGGCTACGACCAAGGGAGATGTCTACAGCTTTGGGGTGGTGATGCTCGAGCTCATAACAGGAAGATCACCGACTGGACAAGCTGATGTTGAGGGAGGCAATCTCGTTGGATGGGTGAGGTGGATGGTTGCAAAGGGAAGGGAGCATGAAGTACTCGATCCATATATTTCTGGTTCAGCTACATCAACAGATCAAATGCTCCGCGTTCTTGCTGTTGCGAGGTTGTGCGCACATGATGATCCGTGGAAGCGTCCAACAATGCTTGAGGTAGTTAAGCTCTTGAAGCAGGCTAAGGTGTAAAATAGTCTTTCAGTGTTCTATAAACTGTTGATTAGCTCATAACTTACAATTCTGTTCATGATATATATATGTAGTTGACGATCAAATCGGAGATTAAAGATTTCTATATACCCATTTGCGGTGAAATAAGTAATTTGACATCCATACAGTAATTTCCAACTTATCTGCTCGGGTGTTACAAATTTCTAGATTTGATGATTCAACGTGATATCGGAGTTAGGTTTCTATCGTATTGTACTTTTTTGTGCATGTGTTAAAACTAGTGGGACATGTTAACACCAGATATGACTTGTTCAACTAGTATATGAACTCAAGTGACAATTTTTTTTTGCGATAGATGTTTCAATGTTTCATACTGCATTATTTAGATAATCGAGGGAACGGATGAGGAAAAAATGAACTAGTGGAGTGAAATAGTATGTTTGGCTAAGCTTAAATTCAGCAACTCATTTGGAACAAATTAAAGTTAAGTAACTATACTAAAACTTGCCTAGAATTTCAATGCCAAATAACTTGCCTAGAAGTTCAATGCCAAATTAAGTATTTCAAGGCATAGGAATGACATAATTCCCTGCCCTGGTACGTCCTACATAGAATGGGGCATGAACTTCCGTTTAGTATGAGAATTGATGGGTATGCTGGCTGTGTTCGGTAGCATTGAAAGCTTACTGTCCAGCTAATTTCAGTACTCGGATTCAGTGAAAAATAGGCCACGTGGAAGGCGCATGATGGCAGTTTTGGGTGGTTTCTGCTGTAGGCTTGACATGGGGGCAATTATGGACAGCTTGTGGCATGAAAGGGCTAGAAATATGGGAAAACTGACCCAGCAGTTGGGGGTTGTCAACTGCTATCCGGATGTTCATCTATATATTCTAAGTGCTTGTGCATTTAGATAGAAGTAATGCTATTTCTAATGAAGATTACCGATAGTCACTCTACGTGACATACACATGGCAATTTAGTATTTGATGCATTGATGTGGTAATTTTTTATTGCCTCGTGCATCAAATAATAAACTTTCATGTGTATGCCACGTAAGGCGACAATCGGTAATCTTCACTATAAATAGCATTATTCTTTAGATAGATAGAACATTGAATATATGTGAGAGAGAACAATTGCTGTGTTGATCCTTCACTTATTTTTGTACTTTGTCATTTTCTTTGTTTTATAAGAATAAAGTTGGGAAAGGTTTCCCAAAAATTTATGTTTTACTTAACTGTTCCGATACTTCAATCTTCTGTAATCTTTACTTAGTTCTGTGTTTTTCGAGACCCGGAAGTGTAAAATTCGTGTGTTGGCTGGTTGAGGACGAGAAACCTCCACGCCATCGCATGTTTGTTGGAAAAGCCTTGTGACACTAGCCAATGCAGTGAACAAAAACTTTCTAGGAAAAGAATCTTGTGTACAAATAAAGACAGATAATCACCCCAAATAATATGCTTATTAAATAAATTAAATAGCATAATAAATTAGGAAAAACAGTTAAAAAAGAATCAATATTTAATAAAAGGTAAGATGCATGAATGGAAAATAAGTTAAATAGCAATAACATTTCCAGAAGCAGAATCACATGACAATAGGAGAATTGCAGGTAATTCTTTTACTTCTGATATGCTCTGGTTCTAGTAGGTATATTTACGTTCATCATCTTCCAAGTAGTTTTAATGAGGACATTGCGAAGAATTGCTCGTCTCTTTACTATCTACTTATGTAATCAAAAGGCAAAATCAAGATTAAACGATCACTTTGCAGTCTCAATCCTGATCATTAACCCGTCGAATGCTCAAGCGGAAGATCACTGTCTTTACAAAGTGATGATCATGAATCTCAACTCTTGACGAACTCTTTGAACTTGCTGAAGAATTTAGGAAGCTGCTTGACAAATGATTGGACCAATTATGTTAAGATTGAGAAATAAAAAAGGAAAAAAACAGAGGAGATTGATGTAAACAAATAAGAAAATGAAGAATGGGAGATGTTTAGTTTGGTAAACTTCAAAATAAAAGTATGAAAATCTTCAACTGAAAGCAAATGACAGCAAAAAAAGTTGATTATTCTAAAGCAAGAAAAGAACCGGTGGCGGAATCATCACCACCACTTAAGAAAAATTAATTCACAAAAAGTTAAAAATAATAAAAAACGACTAGATAAAAATCAGTATCCTAGATCGTAGAACTACTACCTGAAGTGATTGCAATTGTGGAGGTGGTGTTTGATCACGAGTGGGGGTGGATTAGGTGGGATGGGGTGCATGGGTGCGTTTGGTTGGGGAAGATGGAAGTTTTCTAAATCCACTTGGGTTAATATGTATTTTATTTTTATGTATTTAAAGAGAGGAAAATCCATTAATTAATGGCCTAAATGGAGGGAATGACTTGTTTTGCTACATAATTGAAAGATTGGGGGATGTATTATGCTAAAAATATTGATGGTAGATTTATTACTTTTTCGCAACAATTGAGGACGGAAAGTGCAAATTTTCATTATTTTAAAGTTCCAAACTTTCAAATTAGACTCGAAGAGACCTTTTTTTTTTTTTAAAAAATAAATATTTAGTTTGGCTCTCTACATATAAAAATCCAAACTTACCCTCTATTTATATTAATTAAGATTGCATTTAAAAAAAAATTGTAAGTTTTAATGTTCCACCACTTTAACTATTTATGTTATATTAAATACTTTAGCTACTTTATTATTTATGACCAAGATGCTCGTTAAAAATAAAGAGTATTTTGGAGATACTCTACCTAGGTCTTTGTTTGAGAGAGGGTTATTGGGGGACAGATGTAGTCTATGAGTCCATAGGGATGAAGGCCACGACCAAGCGTGATACATCGTTGGTGATAGCAGACCTTCTATAGGAGTTTTTTGAAGTCTTTCCGATTGAAATTTTGTAGGGTTTGACATCACTGAGAGACATCAAGCACCACATAGATTGATTTTGTTCCCAGTGCTCTACTTCCAAATCGTCTCATCGTCGTATGACTTCAGGAGTGATCTCAAAATATTTCTCGAGCAAGTGAAAGAATCATTGGCTAAGGATATACGAAAGTATACCATATGCCATTCAGAATGAGAGTTGACGGATGTGTGGACAGAAGAGCTATCCAAAAAAATTACGTTTCCCCTTGGAGTTTCCGATACTGAGGTTGAATGGCCTATTGGACCAGTTGAACAGGGCTACTATTTTAGTAAGTTGGATCTGCAAAATGGCTACTGTCAGATTTGTATTCTCTCGGGCAACGAGTGGAAGATGACTTTCAAAACTCATGAGGGATTCTTAGAGTGGTTGGTGATGCTCATTGGTCTATCAAACACACCAAGTACATTTATGTGTTCGTGAATCAGATCTTGTTGCCATTTGTGGGCAAATTTTTCATTATTTTTCGGTGACATTCTTGTCTAAAGTGTTGATCCAGTTGAGCACCTTAAGCATTTGAGTGCAGTTTTATTGCGCTGCGCATAGAGTGATTTTTCACAGCCAAAAGAAATGCATTTTCATGGCGGATAAAGTGTTTATATTAGGCTATGTCATATCTATGGCCGAACTTGCCGCCAGTTTGGTCAAGCTCGAGGATGTCCAACAATGCTTGAACAATCACCCACATTTGCAACTTCCACAGGTTGACATCTTTCTTTTTAGCACTTTATTCTGCATTTTAGCTCTATCATGGTGCCAATTACAGATAGTTCAAAGGAAGGGAGCTTTCTACTGATGGAGGTAGCGCAAATGACTTGATCAAACCAAAGCTCACATCAATGCTGACGCCGGGCAGAATAGTGATTATTCTGTAGGCTGAAACCAATTGACAAATATAAAGAACGCAAGAGAAACACCAAGAGAAACGAGAAAATTCTTTATTATTCAACAATTGAATGAAAATAACCTACAAGTCGGGTTAAATAGTTAGAAAATATTAATTATCGGAATTTTGCCAAAAATAGCAAAATTCTATTATTCATACCAAAACGAAATACGTAATGAAAGGAAGACGATCCCAAAAATTTGGCTAAATTTGAGATCGTAATCTACATCAAAAAGGAAATCGAAATATTACTAAAAATGGCAAAAAATAACTTAAATTGATGATTCGGACGGGAAAATAGCTGAATTTGGCCTCTAAACCGATGCACACCGAGCATTGCTGGGTGCCCACGACGTGCGCGCCGGAAAGAGCTTTCCGAATTGGGGTCATGGGAGTGATTCTGACAACCGTAGTCAAAGTTATGGCAAAAATACCGAAACGTGTCCAAAAGCAACCCAATTAGGAAAAATCGATGATTACTTGCCATTCTTGCGCTGATCCGCCAACTCATGGTATCTCATCGCCATTAACGAACTATCAGACAGGTCGACCTCGTCTGGCTTGGATCCCCCTGCATCAAGTGTCCATACTTGTTCTTCTGGTAGTTGCATACTTTAGTGAAAAATAGCCTTATGCCAAGTCACGCTACAACACTTTTACGAAAGAATTCTATGCTATTTGTGCAAGCCTTTCAACTCTATATATCGTCATTTATTTTAGCATGTATTCATTCTTTTTTGCTGACCATGAGGAATTAAAAATTTGGCCATTCAAGGCCAGGTACTTTTCGTGGGTGGCTTTTCTTCAACAACAAAAATTCCATTAATTATCTGATAACGTAGGGTGAACAGATAAGGAAAATGGATATAATGTCCACGAAGATAAATACCCCTAATCAAGCTACATTGAGAAAAAGTTAAAGATGAAATCAATGATAGTATTTGTTATATACTTTGTTATATAAACACTATTATATTGATTCCATTTTGAAAGAGTTAAAAAACGCCATCTCTTCTATACATTTGCCCTTTCTCAACGCATTTCTTTAGACAAAGACTCCATTTTTTCCTCATTTCGGATGTATAATTTGGTTGAGATTTTCAATTGAGAAAAAGTTTTGCATTTCACGTGTGTATATTGTTTTCAGTTTTCATTTAAATTGCACGTGCTTCGCACACGCCTGCTTGAATT